TATCCTAATAAGGTCCAGCTATCTCATTTAAGTAGTATAGTTGAGCTGGCCTTAAAAATCTATTTAATCTATGATAATTAATCGACCTAGTACGAGCTGATTTTTGTATGGGTAAACGCTAACTAAACCACGTAATTAACCGACCTACCATCCTAATTCAACCCTCCTCTCTTCCTGGCCATTCCCCTTTCCTCCTTTCTTCCTCACTAACATAGATCTCACAATTTCGCGCTCCTCTCTTCCGCCGCTAACAAAGACCCGCCCCTTGGGCCTTCCCCTTTCCTCCTGTTTTCCTCATCATCTTCGTCACCACTGACAAGTTTTACTACTTCATCCTTGTCGCAAAGGTACCCATATAGCCGTCGATATTGATGCCCAACCGCATCGGTGAGTTGTCAATCATTGAAATCTGGATCAGCCGCGGGATCGGAGAGGTCGAGCTCGATCTTGTAAGTCATGGATTTTGAGATCTCGGTTCCTAGATCGAATCCCAGGTTTAGATTCTCTTTAGCCAGTCAAGCAGACGACTTGGAGCTATACTTCCCCAAAAGCACGTCGGAGTCAAGCAGGGAGGAAGGGAATGGGTTGCAAGAGATAAAGGTGACCTAGCTTCGACGTGGTTTTGGAGAAGCAGCGGCGGGGGAGCGGGTGGCATTTCTGGGGGATTATGAATTTGATGAGCCCAACCAGCCCATGCACGACGATCCGACCCGCCGATCCGCTTAGGTGTCCAGGCCGAACCCTAAGTATCATTGAGGCTTTGTCAGGTTAATTACTTGTTATGGTATTTATGGTATTCCTAGTAGGAGAAGGGTTCTTGATGTAAAACACTATTTAAGTCATTGTTGCAAATACGAGAAACAACAATTACCCAAACCAAACCCTAAGGTTCTCTGCGCTTAGCAGAACAACTCCCACTCATGAGCTACGAGTTCATCAATTGGTATCAGAGCCATGGTTCTGAACCTGGATACGTTCCAAGAACTGTACCACCGTGCTTTTGAGATTCGCGTACAGACGGTAGCGTCTGGCAAAAGAACCGAGGCCCTTTGTGACAGATCGAGCAACTACTGAAAAGGTTGGAACCCAACCCTAACCACGAACTCGCCATAGGAAATCAACGGACCGACGACGACGTAGCCTGAGTCGACGCCAACGATGTCAAGGCAGAGCTGGAGGCGTAAATTTCCCTCAACGCGGTAGTAGGGGTGCCAGGCCCTAAAACCATGTGATTCCATGCACATGTCAAAGGAATTTCGGATGTGATGTTGGTTGATAGTGGGTCGACCCACAATTTTATTTCCGAAAGCAAGGCGGAAGAGATGAAGTTAGCGTTGGAGCCAACATTGTCGTTTTTCGTGCGAATTGCCAATGGTGAGCGCTTGAAGTGCACGATGCAGTGTTCTGTGGTACCAGTGCAAATTCAAGGGTCGGAGCTCATAATCTCATTATTTGTTTTGCCCATCCGAGGATTGGATATGGTGATCGGCGTGCAGTGGTTAGAAGAGTTGAGACCGGTTATATGTGACTGGAATGCGTTGAAAATGAAATTTAAATGGCGAGATAAGGAGCACCAGCAATGGGGAGTGGAGGCGGAGCTTCGACATGTGAGTTATGAAGAGATTTCTCTTGAGGAGGGCTTGATGTGGGCGATCTGTGTACCATTGCGAGCTGAGGATATGGCCCCCACTAGCACCAGAGATGCAAGAGCTTGTGCGGGAGTTCGAGGAAATTTTTGAAGAACCAAAAGAGTTTCCTCCTTCACGGGAATTTGATCATCGTATCAAGTTGAAGGAAGGCGCGGATGCTATAAACGTCCGACCCTACAGGTATGGATACCACCAGAAGGAAGAGATTGAAAAGTAGGTGCAGACCATGATGGAGGTCGGCGTAATCCGACCGAGTTCTAGTTCCTTTTCGTCGCCGGTGCTGCTGGTCAAAATGAAAGATGGTACGTGGTGCTTTTGTACTGACTATCGCGCTTTAAATGTGGCCACCATCAAGGTCCTCTACCCAATTCCTACTATCGACGACATGCTCGATGAATTGCACGGGGCAAAGTACTTTACGAAGCTGGATCTACGAGCAGGGTACCATCAAATTCGGATGGTTGAGGAAGATGTGCCAAAGACCGGGTTTTAGAACCCACAATGGGCATTATGAATACTTGGTGATGCCATTTGGAGTGTGCAATGCACCATCAACATTCTAGGCGGCTATGAATGACTTATTTCGAGACATTCTTCGGCGGTACGTGTTAGTTTTCTTCGATGATATACTTATCTATAGCAAGACGTGGGCTGACCATATACTTCATGTCCGTCATACTCTTGAGACTCTTTATCAAAGCCATTATTATGTCAAGTTTTCTAAATGTGAGTTCTGCTTGCGAGAGTTGGAGTATTTGGGCCATATGATTTCTGATGCAGGGGTTAAGGCAGATCCGAACAAGATTCGTACAATGACGGAGTGGCCACGACCGAAGAATCCGACGGAGCTCGGGGGATTCTTCGGACTCACCAGTTACTACCAGAAGTTCGTTCGTGGGTAAGGGGCAATAGCTAAACCCTTGACAGACCTGCTCAAGAAGGGAGCATTTCGGTGGAGTGAGTTGGTCGAGAAGGCCTCCGAGGATCTCAAGCAGGCGATGGTGACCACTCCCATGTTGGCAATGCCCATCTTCCAAACTTCCTTCGTCATTGAAACCGATGCATCAGGAAAAGAGATCGGGGCAGTTCTCTCACAACAAGGGAGACCCATTGCCTACATGAGCAAGGTGTTGGGCCCGGCAAAAGCAGCTTGGTCAACCTATCAAAAGGAAATGCTGGCAATCACCACCGTGGTTGAAATGTGGCGGTGCATTATTCATACCGCCAAGGGCTAGTCTTCTATAAGGGACGGGTCGTCCTTCTTCCGCTTACTAGCCTTGTGATGAGCGTCCTCCATGAATTCCACGACACGCCATTGGGGGTCATTCGGGTGCACAACGAACTTTAGCTAGGCTGTCCAGCCATTTTTACTGGCCTCAAATGAGGAAGGCCGTATGTGACTACATGGCCTCCTGTGATGTCTGCCAGCGAGTGAAGTCGGACTCATTGTCCCCGGCTGGTCTCCTACAACCGCTCCCCATTCCGTGTCAAGTCTAGGAGGACATATCGTTGGATTTTATTGAGGGCTTACCGGTTTTTGGGGAGTGCTCGATCCTATTTGTAGTGGTTGACAGGCTTACCAAGTACGTACACTACATGTCATTAGCTCACCCCTATACAGGAGGAATTTATCCGCGGGGTGGTGCGACATCACGGGATCCCATCATCGATCGTCAGTGACCGGGACGCGGTGTTCGTCAGTCTGTTCTGGAAGGAGTTCTTTAACCGCACGGGTACTAAGATCAACATGAGTTCGGCTTACCACCCGCAGTCCGATGGTTGTTAACCGATGCATTGAGCAATATTTACGATGTTTTGCACATCAGCAACCACGGCAGTGTCACATGTTCCTTCCTTGGGATGAGTTATAGACTTATGGTACAATACTTAATTCCATCGCACTATTGGTATGACTCCGTTCAAAGCTTTGTATGGGCGCGATCCGCCTAGTATTATTCCCTATGCAGGTGGTTCTAGTTCCGTAGAGGCCGTGAACGGGACGAGGTGATACGAGAGCTCAAGACCACCTTAGCAGCTACCAAAGAGTACATGAAGCGGCGAACTGACTTGAAGCGTAGAGATCTCCAGTTCTCGGTGGGCGACCTGGTTCTTCTCCGGCTCCAACCATAAAGATAACACTTCGTTTTTTAGCGAGCTTCACAGAAACTAGTTGCGCTCTACTTCGGGCCAAATTCAATTGTTGCTAAGGTCAGAGTTTTCGCGTACATGCTGCAGTCTGGAGGGGGTGAAGATTCATCCGGTTTTCCATGTGTCCTAGCTTCGACCGTGTCGCGGTCCGCCACCAGCCGATCCTGCCGAGGTTCCTCTCGTTTCTGATTATGGTGATGTCGTGATGCAGCCAGCTGAGGTGTTGGATCATCGTTGGGTGCGACAAGGTGGGCGGGTCATCGAGGAATGTTTGGTTCGATGGACTCATTTGCCAGCTAAAGATGCGACGTGGGAGTCAGTAGAGGCCTTGCGGGAGGATTTTCCCGACCTTGAGGACAAGGTTGCTCTTCCGGAAGGGAGCAATGATGAGCCCAACCAGCCCATGCACGACGATCCGCCCCGCCGATCCGCTCGGGTGTCCAGGTCGAATCCTAAGTATCTTTAAGGCTTTGTCCGGTTAATTACTTGTTATGGTATTTATGGTATTCCTAGTAGGAGAAGGGTTCTTGATGTAAAACACTATTTAAGTCATTGTTGCAAATACGAGAAACAACAATTACCCAAATCAAACCCTAAGGCTCTCTGCGCCTAGCAGAACAACTCACACTCGTGAGCTACGAGTTCATCAGAATTCTGGGAGATCGGAGTCGAGCGGGTAGGCGAATGAGCAGTGTAGGTCATCTACTTGTGGAGGAGGTCCGAGTGATTGTGGCAGGCGGAGACAATTGGGAAGAAGCTAGTTTAGAGGAGCAGATACGGCGGCATTGCGCCTTAGATTCGTCGATGTTTGAGGTGGTGGGAGTCGAGGAGGAAGGCTAGTTGGGGTGTGGTTGATGGTGACGTGTATGGTGTTGAGTTGACAGAGGAGGTGGTCGGGGACTGGCTGGGAGGTAGCGATGAGTGGGGGAGCTAGGGAGAGGGGTGGAGGGGAGGTAGATAATGCAAGGGAAAGGGTGGAGAATGACTTTGTGGCAACAGGGGTTGTTGGCGAGGCGAAGAAGAAGAAACACAAGAATGTGTAATTGAAAGGATTTATTTATGGGGTTGATTATAGGTTGGGTTGAAGTTAATGACATGGTGGATTTGTTGAGGTGATGTGTTTAGTATTAGTCATTTTTATTAGCTATGTCAATAATAAACTAACACCATTAATACAGACTAACAAAAGGTAATGAAATGTGATCACGGATGGAATAAATAAAATTTAATCCCAAACATAAAATGTTTTAATTTTCTCAATGACCCAACCTTGCAATTTACGCAGATTGCCAAATGCAACTTCCCCACAATGGCTTTTGTCTTCTTCATTTGTTGCTCTCTCAAATCCTAGCGTTCTCAGCTACAAGTTTTGTTTTCTACAACATGCCCTAATACAATAATGGCTTCGTGTAAGGTGCGAGACATGCGTCTGCTGCAATCCATACCCAAACTTAAAAGTGGTCAGCTCTGAAGACGCGTTGGAGGTCACTAAGTCGATAATGGATTCCAATTGGACAAGAATACCTCCCACTTATGACTTAACCAATCCAGCTGTTTCAAAGTGCAATAAAGCCAAACCTATCAAGAGCCTATGGCATCCCAAGTAGGAAGACATCCACAACCCTCTGAATCAAAACTGAAGCAGCACCCAAAAAATAAAATGTGAACCAAACTGCACTAGAACTCTGCCATTGTTTAGGTAGTTTTGCTCATGTAGAATTCAGAATTGTGAGTTTTATATGCAAGATAAAAACAAGTGCCCTAGGAAAACCAACAAAGAAACAAGTCTCCTTATTATATAATACACGGAATGTTAAAATCTCTCAAATCTCCACAGTTACAACCCATAATAACATAAAAGATGATCAATCTTCAATCTCCACATGCTCATTGTAACGCAAGAATACATGCACATCCCCCTTCCTCAGAGTCAGAAGACAGCATCCAACAAGCAACAACAGCACAACGCTGCTAAGCTGCAAATTAAAAGAACCCACCGTCAGCACAGCAACTCAGGAACATCAAATGTACTGTAACATACAATCTTGGATTCGGAATCTATGCTGATCTCGACAATTAGCTTAAAAGGCCAAATGGGTGAGTAGGTCTAATCAATTAGATCGTGCCTAAGCTATATATCCAAACAATCATGGGTGTTAACCAGTTCGCCATCCACGAATTGAAAAGCAGAGCAAGGTAGGGATCATCCCATCCAAACCCAAGATTTGGGTTTGTGAAATTAGATCGTGTCCAAAGCTATAAATCCAAACAATCATGGGTATTAACCAGTTCACCATCCACAAATTGAAAAGCAGACCAAGGTAGGGATCATCCAATCCAACCCCAAGATTTGGGTTTGTGAAATTAGATCAGTTGGGGGGAGAAAGGAAAAGAGGGGAGGGGAAACTGACCATCCTTCAAGGAAGCCAACTTCTTTTTGCTGCCTGGGTGGTTGCTGGGCGTATTGCTGCTGGGCGTATTGTTGCTGGGGAGGATAACCTTGAGGTGGGTACGACTGGGGAGGATATCCCTGAACAGGGTATCCCGGTGGTGGATAAGCATCTTTCGGGTAACCTAAAGTAAACAAGAGGAAGAAGAAGAAGAAATTCAGAATTTGCATAATCGATCAAGAACCCATTTCACTAAAACCCCAGCACAAGAGGAAAATCCATCCCTGTAATTCCAAACGGAAACTACCTTGTGGGGGAGGAACTCCGACGGGTGGCTGCTGCTGCTGATTGTAGTAACTCATCTTCTTCCTGTTCTTATTTTAGATCTCAAAGCTTTGGCTATGCAGAAGAAAAAAATATATAGAATGGCTGGTAACTGAAGATATTTTGATTTGTGTTGAAGTCTAATTTATAGAGAAGGAAAGCGCGTGAGATAAAGGCGGTGTTGATTAGAAGCGGAAGGAACCAGGAAGGTGGGTGTGCTGTTATATCGGCCGAATTCTAATTTTTCAATTTATTTTATTAGCACAAACAACGGGATAGGCAGAAAGGAGGAAAAAATCCCAGAATACGCGAGTTATTAAAAAAAATTCCCTAAATACAGTACTTATAAAAGTAATTCCCAAAATACAGCAGTTTCAACATCACTGTCTTTGTCTAAGACAGTGATGTTGATCACCGCTTTTGTCCAAAGCAGTGAAGCAGCGGGGTACGCATCACCGCCTTGGACAAAAGCGGGGAATGCATCATCGCTGTGGTCAAAAGCGGTGATACGTTCCCCGCTTTTGTCCAAGGCGGGGATTGTATCCCTGCTTTTGACAAAAGCGGGGAACGTATCCCCGCTTTGGACATCAACAGTGAAGCCATCACCGCTGTTGTCCACAGCAGTGATTGCCCCCACGTTTTACACAGCCCTGGTAGGTGGACAGGTAGGTAACAGCTACCTAGCCATCACCGCTGTTGACTAAGGCGATGATGGTTCACATAAAAAGCCACGCCCCCTCTTCCCTCCTGCTGCCAAACACTCCTGCTGCCAAACAGAAAATTAGTACCAAAATTATCGTTTTGTTAAGTCGTTTTCGCAGCTGGTTCCTCCGTAGTTTACTGCTCAAGAAACTCGGGGTGATACTGAGTAGTTTGTTGCTGATGGTGGAACTGAGGGGTGGCTTGGGTGAACATGTCATGCTCCATCGTCGGGGCATAGCTTGACGACCCTCCGGTTCCCTCAGTACTAGTAGCCCACTCACAATGTGGCCATGGTTGAGGAAGTTGAGTTTGTTGAGACGGACGAAGCTCATCAATGTGTTCTCTCACCCTTCTTCTGCTCCTCCGTGGGGGCTCTTCTGGGGGCACAATCCTCTCATCAGCACGGAATGAAGGTCGGGCCGGAGCAGGCACTGGAGGGTATAATATGACATCCCTCCTTTGCTCTCTGGTACAACATAGCAAGTTGTTGAAAAGCCTGCGCAAAAAAGATGTCTTCCCCTCATCCATGGTGGGTGCACTCTCGACGGTGTGCTTCGCATGCTCCAAACCGTCAACCTAATAAATTGTTGTACAAAATTAACTAATAGTAAATCTAATAATGATTTCTATCATCTAATATAGGCATGTAATCATACTACAAAAATTAACTAAAATTAACTCTAATATAGATAATTAACATTCTAGCTAATATAGGCATGTAATCATACTCCAAAAATTAACTAACATTAAATCTAATAATGTTAATTAACATTCTAGCAAATATAGGCATGTAATTATACTACAAAAATTAACTAACATTAAATCTAATAATGTTAATTAACATTCTAGCAAATATAGGCATGTAATTATACTACAAAAATTAACTAAAATAGGCCAAAATGGAATTCACTTACCACTGCGCCCCAAACAGCACCTTGCTTTGACACCCATCTTAGCGTGAAGTGCCGATACCACCGCATGTAGCCATCGTGGTACCCCATTGGCCTTGTCTCCGGCGCCCCTTGGACCACCCACTGATTTCTATTCTCCCATATGTTGATGTAGAATTCATGCTTGCGGGTCCAATCCTTTTTGTTGTAGCGTAGGTCAATGGCGTGGAGCTCCCTGAACCCTTGAGGTGGGGATGCTGGAATTGGTTGCTCCAATCGATATTGCCTCAAAGATCGATCGGGCAGGTGCCACTCCACCATGTGCCAGCAGATTAAGGGCACCTTGCACAACCATGTCTCTTGATCCTCGGGATGTCTAAGACGATGCAACTCAACCACTTCATTTGGATATGGATCCCATACCGCCTACAATCATTACAATTCACGTAATTAGTAAAAATTATATCCACTCCACCTAATAAATTGAAAATCATGACATTCAATATTTTTACCTGGTTCCACCAAGGCTTATCAAATTCAGCACGATAAAACAGTAAAGAGTGCTCGGCCTGGTGGTCGTTAGTATTTGCTCCGATCCACCTAATTAAGCAAAAGTACATATATAAGCAATTTTTAAATTAGCTAAATACGATTTGGTTAGAATAAATCCAAATTCACTTACTTGGAAGATATCTAAATTCACTAAAATACTAGAATTGCAGACCTAAAATGTCTCTAAATTCGCTTAGTTGGAAGATAGCTAAGTTCACTAAAATACTATAATTGCATACTTAAAATTGCATACTAAGTTCACTAAGTTCACTAAAATCTAAATTCACCTAACTAGCTACCATTGCATATCTAAAATAAATTCAACTTAAATTGAACTTACTTGAAACCATATGGTGGATTTGCTACAAATCGTAGCTCATCATCTGGCAACCAGAATTCCCGAGGGTCTTGAGGTGCGAGAAACGGAAGATGCTCCCATGCCCAGAGTTGAAGTATGAACATCGCACCACCAGCTTGTTTCGCTCCCAACCTCGAGCAAGTACACAACTCTCGGTAGATTCCAGCCAAGACGGCCGACCCCCAACTTTTTCTCCCGATCTCGTCCCAGTCACCGAGGAGCATAGGGAACCACATGCCTTGTATCCACTTATTTGACTTGTCGGGGAACAGAAACCCACCAACCAAGGCAATTAGGTATACACGTGCATACCGCTCCACCTGATCTTCAGGAGTATCCGGGCCTATATTAACCTCCAATTGGATGTGGTCAACAAGCCACGGGATCGATACTTGCCCCGCATTCAGTGGTGGATGCCCAACCCCTTCGACGGGCGTGGTGGTCGGCATGTTGAACCCCAGACGTTCCTGAATCAATGGCCCCCAACCATCTTCTGGTTTTCTCGAGCTGTCGATGATGGCATCTCCGGTGATCGGGAGCCCGGTGAGGATGGCAACATCTTTGAGGGTGATCGTCATTTCACCCTCGGGAAAGTGGAAGGTATGCAGCTCAGGGCGCCATCGCTCTGCCATTGCCGTCAGCAGATCGTTGTCAATATCTAGCCTCATAAAGTGCCTCAAATTGTGCAATCCCGCCCTCTCTAGATAGGGATGCAGTCGAGGATGCCAACGGGGCAATCGACATGTACCTCGATGACTGATGGGAATAAGTGATTCCTACAAAACAAAAAACACAATATTGTCAGTCAATAGAAAGCAAAATAAAAACTTAGAAAGCAAAATAAAAACTTTAAAACTATTGAAATAATTGTAGTGTATCTACCGGATTATTGTTCCAAATTGAACGAGAGCGATGTTGATCTTGCCCGGTTAAATACCTTCGATCCCTTGGGCCAGGATCGATATACAATCTAGGGTCGTATATCTCAGCACCCATCTATAAAAAAATATGAAATCAAATCAATTTAAATTTTAGCACCCATGTAAAAAAAAAGCACAAAAGAATTAAATAAATTTACGTACTCTCAAAGCCTCTTCGTCCATTTTTTGCCGAAAAGCTAGCGAGAGTATCGACAAAACAACAAAACAAAAACTCTAGTAATTCTTTCTGATGCGGAAGATCGGACTTAGCCGCAACCACAGAGCATACTTAGAACGAAACTAGAGTGAAAAATGGAGGGAGAAAGAAGTATGAAGTGGTGGTGTGGTTTGGAATGAGAGGGGGGATGGGTATTTATAGGGTTTGGGGCTGGGAAAACACCTGGCCAGTTATCACCGCCCCAAACAAACACAGCGCCATCACCGCCTTTGTTGGACGCGGTGATGGGCAGGGATCGCTGACGTGGCCTCTCCTGATGCGTCGGATTGTGGAGAAAAACCACAATCCGCGCATAACTGCATCCGACGGCAGCGGTGAAGGCGCGGGGTGGGGCGCGGATCGCTGACGTGGAAAGCGGGGCTATCACCGCTTTGGTCTTCAGCGGTGAAGTGCCCGCGCGCGTCCACGTCAGCGATCCGCGCCCCTTCACCGCTGTTGGATCCAACGGTGAAGGCTTCACTGCCTGCCACATCAACGGTGATGCCATCACTGTCGTCCTTGACAGTGATGATGGCATCACTGCTTTGGTTCAAAGCGGTGATAACATCACTGCTTTTGTCTAAAGCGGTGATGTATCATCGTTTTAGACCAAAACGGTGATCAACATCACTGTCTTAGACAAAGACAGTGATGTTGAAACTGCTGTATTTTGGGAATTACTTTTATAAGTACTGTATTTTGGTAATTATTTTTAATAATTGGTGTATTCTGGGATTTTTTCCCAGAAAGGAAGAATATTTTTGTGCTTTACAGAACATAAGGCAGTTGTATGAGTGCGTGCGTCTGTCATTAGCTCTCCTGCTCCCTCCCATTTCTCTCTGTTTGTGCCTAGCAGGCAGAAGCAGTTGCCATATGCTAGCGGCTATCATTCTTGATGGCAATATCGGCTGAATCGGGTTCATCGATATCAATGACAAAATCGTTTGGAATGTTTCCAAATTGACAAAGGTGTCGTTTTGATGAATTTAATTGATAAAAAAAGTTATTTGTTTCTTGAAAGTTAAATGTTGATATTATTTGTTAGATTCAGGTGTGAATGTTTAGATGTTTATTTTATTTGTTGAATTCAAATATAATGTTGGCAAAATACACCTGTATAGCCATAACTTTCACACTTTTGACAAATATAGTCATATCTATTCGAAAACAACAAATAACCAATTCCGTCCATTTTGGTAACGGTGTTAGTAGACGTTATGACTGTACTAACGGCTTGCGCTGAGTTGGCAACTGAGTTACCCCACCTTCCGACGTGGAATCAGACTTGGAAAATAAAATAAAATAAAAGATGAAAGTGACCCAGCGGCCCACCACCACTCGCGACTCGTCCATCCTTTCTTATCCCTTCGTTTTTCTTTCCCCCTTCACCTCTCTTCCTCCGACCACGAGACTGACGACGACCGATTCCGTCCCCCTTTTCCAATCTTCCTCCGATAACCCCCTTCCAGCTTCAGTTCATTGCCCTAATCGTCTATAAATCCTCATCCCAACCCCGAAAACTTCAGCTTTTATCATCCCCGATTTCGCGTCCCTTCCAATGACGAACGGTGGCATGCATCCTGACTAATCCACAGGCGGCCACCGTTTCCCGACGCAACCCAAGCATCCTAGTAATGAATAACGCATCTCCAAAACCTAATTTCACATTCTGGTGCGATTGGTGAGTTTTTCAGAGAGAGGTTGGTTGGTGGTCTCGATTATGGGTAGGATGTACTTATAGGCTATTTGTTACCTCCTTTTCTTGTGTCTTTTTGTAGTTGTGGGTCGCTGTAAAGAAGGAAAGCGACATTACTGATTCCAAAAGGGACCACTTCGCATTGAATCTGTGTTTTTCGCGAGATTGCCCCTGAATCCGACGGTGAGTGCCTCCAAATCCTGGGTAGAAGGGTCATTGATATCTTTCTTTGTCAAAAACCCTAGAATAGAATAATGGTGGAAGGCTGTGCTATTGTTTGTTTGTTAGTGAATTAAAATTTCTTGATTAGGGTTAGTAATTACTTTATTAATTCTTTATCTTGTTTAGGGTTTAGATGGGTGATTCATACGAGGAGCAAGGTGGCGAGAATGATCCAAACCACGTAGGATCAGAGAATGCTAGCTTTGGTAACGTTGCTCGTGAAGATGAAGCTGCATCTGTGGCACGAGATGTGTTCCATATTTACGATTCTGACGATGCATAGACGTCTGATGATGAGTACCATGAGGCTCGGGCCAATTTACGCGCCTATGGGGAAATGAGAAGGAGGAAGGTGAAGGCAAGGAGAGATGGTCATGGGGAGGAGGTTGAACAACTAGATGAATATGAAGAAGAAGCTTCTGACAATGGAACAGAAGATGAAGACCATGAAGAGGGCATTGGAGATGATCCTGAAGAACCTGATGAGGCAGCAGTAAATGATGGTGCACCAGAGCAAGCAGTTGAAGATGATGGTGTAGTCGAAGATAATGGTGCACCTCCAGTTCAAGAACCTAGAAGAGAAGAGTCTCAACACTCTAGCTACAGACTGTTAGAGGAATCTGATCATGTTAGGGCCAATCTTTCGGACGAGGATGGTGGAGAGCCATTTGGGGATGCTCCACACTACGATCCAGACTGTGATCACAAGAAGTTTCAGTTCATTCCAAGGTTGAAGTTTGAAAGTCCATAACATTTCAAGAACGCGGTAGTCTTACATTCTGTTGTTGCTGGTGCTAGCTTGAGATGAGTTAGGAGCACACCATCAAGAAAAGAGGTGAAATGCAAGGACACAAGATGCAAATGGAGGGTGGTGGCTAGTTGGTTTAGGAAGGACCAGTCTTTTATGGTGAGGAAGGTAGGGCTGCACCATTCTTGTTCACGTAAGATGCGGGTGAATCAAGTTACTGCAGAATGGATTGCATCTGACATGCTTGAGAGGTTTCGCATCAATCCACAGTGGGCTCCAGACCAGATCATGGCAGAAGTGAAACTAAAATACAAAATGGAAGTGGACAAGAGGAAGTGTTATAGAGCAAAGGTTGCTACAATTCGAATGCTTAGTGGGTCGTTGAAGGCTGAGTTTAAGGCAATCAGAAGCTATGTTGCTGAAATGATGAAGAGGGATCGACATGGGAGGTTTGTCTTGGAGGTTCAACCACATTCATCTGACGACAAAGTATATTTCCAGAGGCTGTATGTTGGGTTTTCATGCTTGAGGGATGGGTTTGTGGATGGATGTCGGCCAATTTTTGGCTTGGACGGTTGCTTTTTAAAGGGAGAGGTGAAGGGGATGTTGTTGACTGCTGTTGGGAAGGATGGAAACAACCAGATGTATCCACTGGCTTGGGCTGTTGTTGAGAGTGAGAATGTAGATTCGTGGAGGTGGTTTATCAATATCTTGTCCCAAGAGTTGAACATGCTGGATGGAAGGGGTTGGTCTGTTATTTCTAACCAACAGAAGGTAAACTCCACTAATTCATGTTTCATCATCATACCATTGTTTCTAATTGTTATATATATGACTTAATGTGACTCTGTCTTTTGGTGTTAGGGTCTGGTGGAGGCTCTTCGTGAGCTGTTATCTGATGCTGAACATCGCAAGTGTGCAAGGCACGTTTATGCCAACTGGAAGGTGAAGAACAAGACGGATAAAGTCAAAAAGTTATTCTGGAGGTGTGTTTATGCTTGCAATGAAGTCGACTACAAGAATGCCACTAAGGAAATGGAGGAGATACAAGGTACATACACACTGATTACACCTTTCACAGACTTTATGAATGCTGAACCTAGAAGCTTTTGCCGATCTTTCTTATCTCCGGTTCCTAAATGTGACTCAATTGAGAGTACCATCTGTGAAACATGGAATGGATCAATATTTAAGTGGAGGGGCATGAGAATCATAGACATGTTTGAGGGTATCCGTGGGTACATGATGGAAAGAATTGTAAAAAAACACCAAATGTTAGCTGATTGTGATGATGATCTTTGCCCTAGAATTAGAAAAAAATTGAGAAAGAAAAGGGCTTAGTTAGGTTGTGTACCTCTAGACAAACCTTGGATAATAAGTGCGAGGTCAGATTGGGGATTCGGGGTATATTGTGGACCTACATACTAGGTCATGTACCTGCGGATACTGGGGCCTTAGTGGACTCCCTTGCTTCCATGTTGTCTCGGCAATTACTCATTTAAGGAAAGAAGTGGATGATTACGTTCATCCAGCATACCATTGTCGAGAGGTTGTCAATGCCTACAAGGTGGGGATTCCCTGTCTAGATGGAAGGCAAGCATGGCCAGAAGGAGTATGATACCAAGTACTCCCTCCACAGGATACGAGAATGCCGGGAAGGTCGAAGAAAAATAGAAGAAAGGCCGCTCACGAGTTTGAGGTTCGACCTCAAGCAACCGGGATTGGCGAAGAAGTTTCAAGGAGGGGTACTATAATACACTGTGGTAAGTGTGGTGTTGAGGGCCATAATGCAAGGTCATGTAAAAATCCCAATATGTTAGGAGTAAGTTTTAATCCTAATGAATATAGGTGTTACTTTTCATGATTTTTGTACAAACTGTGAACTAAATTATCTGTTTGGTTCTTCTGATTACAGCTCAATGGAGCTGCTGGGCGTCCTCCAGGGATCAGTCAGCAAGCTGTTGTGGATGTCCAGGGGAGCCAGCCACCAGTTACTCAACCATAGATGTGGCAGAACATGGTGGATCCATTTTGTCAACCCAATTTTTGTCTACTTGAAGTTAGGATGGCTTGAATTCTACTCATGCTATGTAGGAGGAACGTTTAACTGTCTCACAATTCGGATTAAATTTTTGTCGACTTGGGGTGCTAAATTAGGTTGTGTGAGGAACGTTTAACTGTCTCACAATTCGGATTAAATTTGTAGTGTATGGAACAGATGGTTGTGCTCCATTCAGATTATATATTGTATTTAAATATTATATTTTAATTTTGTTTGGAATGTTCTCTTTATTCATATATGACTATAAGTGTAGATTTAGAGATTGTCTTCAAATATGTTATATATATGCTTGAAATAATCTAGTGTTCATGATTCCCTCTTTCCTACATATTTTGCTTAAATCGACGTGAATTGGGATAATCCGGTTGTACTACCAGTTGGATCATATCACTTGCCAAACCAGCATAACATTATAAACAAGTTTGACAATCTTGGTCTGTTGGGAAACTGGCGAAATTCTATTATTTGAGTTTCCCTTTCTTTTATCCCTTCTCCTTTAGGAGAGAGCATGGTCGTCACGAATTGGAATGCTGACCAGTTGAACGTGGTTAAACCAGTGTCGGTCATGATACCGGCATGAACACCAACGACATGATCGATTTACGATCTCTAAGCAAAATGACATTGTTTTAGTGAACTTCTTAATAAAATTTTAAGGTATTATTTACTTTATGAATTTATAGGTTAAATATTAAGGTTATTTGTTGGATTCAAGTATAAATATGTAGATATTGATGTTAAATATTGTATTTAAATATGAATATTTTTTTAAAATGTCATATTTTGTATATAATTACATTCATTTAATTTTAATGGTTTCACATTTTTATATATATTTTATTAAATCGAGATGAAACCGGACAAATTAATAGTTCCCTCATTATCGTTCTACAGGATGAAGAGGCCAGGCCCGAGAAAAAGAGGAAGCCGGAGCACAGGCAAACCCAAACCAGCCCAACGAGCCAACTAGAGGCCCCTTCTAACCTTTCATTTGAGTGTATGTCGTTTGTTCCAGGTGAAAGCAGAAAGACCTACCAGAGGAGGAGGAACATGATCAGGAGGAAGAGCCTGGCGGAGCTAACAGCTGAAGGATGCCAATCCGGAGAGGGTGAATCGGCCACTCCGAGGGCGATGGCGGCAAGCCTGAAGCCGCCGTACCAAGAATGAGGATAATGAGCTGGAATTGTAGGGGGTTCGGCCAGCCCCTTACAAGGAGCTACTGTGGTAGGCTCAACCGGCAATATGGCCCGTCAGTTTTTTTTTCTTATGGAGACCAGGAAAGATGACTCGTTTATGGAAGGAAGGATGAGATCGATGAAGTTCGACCGATCAGAGTATGTTAGCCCGAGAAGGGAAGGAAGTGGACTCGCGTTGTGGTGGAAGGAAGAAGTGGATGTTGATGTTTTGGATTCATGTAAGTCCTATATGGACACTAGGATTAGGCAGAACGGAGTGGATTTCTTCTGCACTTTTGTACATGCTCCTACCTCGGCGGTAGAGAGGAGAGACCTATGGGATCGACTTACGACCCTAAGGTCTGATGTGGATGACAAATGGATTGTTGTTGGCGACCTCAATGTCGCTTTGTTCCCCTTCGAGAAGCAGGGGCGTTGTCCGCTGCGTAATGAAAATGTAGCCCCCTTCAAATATTTTATTGCTCGAAATTCCCTGATTGACATGGGATTCTCTGGCCCTGTTTTTACCTGGAGCAACAAACAACAAGGGGATGACCTTATTCGAGAGAGACTCGACAGAGCCCTCTGCTCGACGACCTGGAGAACTGAATTTGAGGCTGCTTCTGTGTTTCATGAGGAATTTGTGGAATCTGACCACTGTCCAATCAGGATTGACCTACATCCTAGAAGACAAACACGCTGCACCCCCTTCCGTTTCGATAAAAGATGGAGGGAAAGCGCGGATTGCTGTGATATTGTGATGAACAGTTGGCAGGCAGGTGGTAATGTGAATGTCAGGCTGGAAAACACGAAGAATGATCTGCAAGTTTGGGCAAGAAATGATAGAGTAACAAAACTGCGGAGAGAAAAAGAAATTAGGAGTAGGATCCAGGACATCCAAGCTGGGTTCCGATCCTCATTGATTGTGACTGAAGAGAGGAATCTCCACAGGGAATTGGAACAAATCTGGAGCGAAGAGGAAGCTTTCTGGGCCCAACGATCTAGGGTCTCCTGGCTTCAAGAAGGAGACCAGAACTCGGGATTTTTCCACACGAGTACCATCAAAAGGAAGAACCGTAACAAAATAACCAAGTTAAGGGATTCAGGGGGTAACTGGATCACGAATGCTTGTGATCTGGAAACCCATGCTACTACCTTCTACCAGAATCTGTTCAGCAGCAAGATTGGACAGGTTGACCAAGACTATCTGGCAGGGTTCCCATGTATCGTTACTGAGGAAATGAATTCCAGTCTCAGTGCCCCCATTGACAAGAGCGAGATCAGGAAGGCTGTGTTTCAGCTTGGGGCGAACAAATCCCCGGGACCAGATGGCTTCCCAGGGCTATTCTTCAGGAAGTTCTGGAATTCTATTGAGGAGGACTTCTGTCAAGAAATTACTGACTTCTTCTCTTCAGGAATTATGCCTCCAGGCTGGAACGATACCTTCATCACCATTGTTCCCAAGATTGAGGCACCTGAACTGATTAGCCAGTTTAGGCCTATCAGTTGTTGTAACTTCAGGTATAAAGTCATTACTAAGCTTTTATCTAACCGTCTCCAAGCTTGGCTACCTTCTTTAGTCAATGAGCTTCAGTCAGCCTTCACAGGAGGGAGACAGATCCAGGATAACATTATTATTGTACATGAAGTCCTCAACCAGTTTAAGAAAAATAAATCTAGTCAAAGGAAAGAAATGATGATGAAACTGGATATGAGAAAGGCCTACGACTTGGTCGAATGGGACCTTTTGCTCAGACTACTTCGAGCTTATGGTTTCAATGAAACCTGGTGCAGTTGGATCCAGGCTTGCATCTCTACAGTGTCCTTCAGCATTCTCTTTAATGGTGAGCCGTCTGAACCATTCGCCCCTACACGAGGTATTCGACAAGGGGATCCTATCTCTCCCCTCCTTTTCATCCTGATGTCGAATGCCCTCTCTTTCCTAATTGAGAAAGCGGTCAGGCTGAAGGAGATCAAAGGAATTAAGATTAACCGGCACTGTCCTACTCTTACCCATTGTCTTTTTGCCGACGACACGGTTATTTTTGGGGATGCTACTCCTAGGGAGATGGGGAGGATCCTGGAGATCATCAGAATCTACGGAGCAGTAACAGGACAAGAAGTCAATAAGGACAAGTCCTCAGTGTTTTTCAGCAAGAATGTCCCCATCAATGACCAAGAGAGGATCATCCTCGATGCGGGTTTCTCTCCCACCAACTGCCATTCCAGCTACCTGGGAGTGCCCACTGAATGGGGGAGGTCCAAGAAGGAAACTTTCAATTTTCTCCTCCAAAGAATGGAGAATAAAGGGGACTCATGGAAAAGCCTTCTACTCTCACCAGGAGGAAAAGAGGTACTGCTCAAAGCTGTTTTCCAAGCAATTCCCTCTTATATTATGTGCTTATTTCTTCTGCCAAAAGCAACTACCAAAAAGATGGATGCAATGTTAAAGAACTTCTTCTGGGGAGGTTCTACGAGCAGAAAGACTATCCACTGGAGGGCAGGAGAAGTCCTGTATGCACCCAAAGAAGAAGGTGGCTTGGGCTTTAGACCGTTTCACACTTTCAACCTTGCCTTGCTTGCCAAACAAGCTTGGAGGATCCTGACTAACAAAGAGGCACTATGGGTCAGAGTGCTGAAGAGTATTTACTTCCCAAACTCGGATTTCTTAAGATCCAAGAAAGGAGCAAAGGCATCATGGATCTGGGCCAGCTTGTGTGAAGCAAAGAAGTGGATGGAACTTGGGTTAATTAGGGTCATTGGCAATGGCAAATCGACAAATTTGTTCTATGACCCTTGGCGAAGAGATAGGCCAGGTTCTCTCCTTGATTTCAACTGGAACGAACAAGCTACAGTGGACACATGGATAGATGGTACCACCAGGGAATGGAAGTTTGAAGTGCTACGTGACTATTTGAGCCCTCTTGACTTGAAGCAGATTATGGCCATACCCATTGGCCCTGAGTCACTTGACGACTACTGGGCGTGGCGCTTCTCGGAGCAGGGAGATTTTTCTGTGAAGTCTGCTTTCCACTCGTTTCATAATAGATCCCGGAGCTTGCAAGGCTCGTCGGCCAGGGTTTCTGAGGAGAGCAAAAGCAGGTGGAAATGGCTTTGGAGCCTCTCAATCCCTCCGAAAATCAAATTTTTCTTGTGGAGAAGTTCAAAGGGAGCATTAGCCACAAAGGAAAACCTCTACGCCAGGAACTGCTCTCCATCCAGTGCCTGTCCCCTCTGCAATCACCATGCAGAATCTATCCACCACTGCCTCTTCTCCTGTTCCCATGCAGCGGAGGGCTGGACGCAGGAATGGCCAGTGACCCCTCTCCCTTCTCCAGGTGTTAATGTCCTGGAATGGCTGGTGTCTCTCGTTCCTAGGTACTCTGTGGAAGCCATCCAGAAGATTTCTTTCTACCTTTGGCAGACATGGAAAACTAGGAACGAGAAGATATTCAAGAACTCACCCATCTGGTCACCGGCCACGGTCATGAAAGCAGCCAATGCACTTCACCAATGGATCACCTGCCCAAAGAAGATTACCACCTCTTCTTCTCCTACTCAGCCCACACCACCACCAGAACTTTCTTCACCACCGCCACGTACTCATAACTTTGAGATACACTGCGACGGGTCGTTTTTCAATGACTCCCAGGAGGCGGCATATGGAGTCATCATTATGAACGACCATGGTCAAGTTTGCGATGGTAAGGCTGAGACTTTGCACTGTTTCTCCCCTCTTGAAGCTGAAGCCAAAGCACTCCACATGGGGATTCGTTTGGCCGTGGATCTACATGAGTCTTGTCTAGTTCGATCGGATTGCCTGCCGCTTGTCAAAGCTTGTCAGGAGAACCAGACAGAATGGCCATGGAGAGCGGCTGCTTGGATTAGCTCCATAAAGTTGTTGATGACAGCCAATCCTCTGATACGTATCTCGCATATAGATCGAAAGAGCAATGTAAAAGCGAACTGGGTGGCTAGATCTTGTGCCAAGAATTTGCTACCTAACGAATGGATTCAAATCCTGGATGTTGTTTCCCCCCTTTTGTAACCTTTGGCTTCTTTTAAGAGAAATGAAAAGCAGTGTCCTATTGTCAAAAAAAAACAGATAGATGTGTCTCTGATAGTCTGACTCTCTGTCACTCGGTTTATAATAATAATAATAATAATAATAATTTATATGTGATTTAGTTGGACCTAAACAGTGGCCAGCTATTCTGAAAAAAAAAAAACAGTGGCCAGCTATGCGTAGCCGTTGCCATTTGCCAAGGGCTAACCCTCTCTCCTCTATTGAATATTTGATGCATTCTGCATTGCAATTCCTTACCCTTGAAGCGATTTCTTATCTCCATTTTATGTGTTCGGTTCTTTCTACGCGTATTCCACACTTCATTATTAAGTAATCCCGTGTCATAGATTGCATGACGCATCCCACAATCACTGGTGTAATAATTTTCTTTTTTTCTTTTTCCTTCTTTCTTTCTAACGTCATCTACTTTTTCTTTTGACTCGACATTTCCTTCTCTATTGCTCAAGTACAATAAAGCAGTCACTTATTATTCTTGTTCCCTTCCAACCATTAATCTGGCTTCTTCTGCTTTTTCTTTTCCTTTCCTAATCTAATTTATTTATTATTCTAGCTTATGCTTAATATAAGGATACAAATTATTATTATTAGTAAGACAGCAACCCGCGAAACACTGTAAAAAAAAATCTGCGTCGTCCTGCATCAGTAACTATGATGCTTGAATTCATTCTTCACCCTCGTTCAAGCTACAATCCGATTTGGACAAAAACTATTCTACGACTTAACACGTCAGATACGACCTACAAACAGATACAACATCTTGAAGGGAAGCCTACAACTACAACTGCATGCATTCACTACACAACCTACCTGCTTACTGACCTAAGCTGCTGCTGCAATGTCGGGTTAAAATCTACATGACTCGATAAGAGTTGGCGAGTTCACCGTCCAACAAAATCCCTCAGTGATTTCACAAGGTATAAGCCCGTGCCCGCCGTGCAAAGAAAGACGGGTATACATGTTTACAAATCAGAAGAAGTAGAGCCACTTGCGCCGGGGCAGGGACTCATCCCGTCGGGTCTTCGGAGTTACAGAGATTCGGTCCGCATTAGAAGCAACCCATCTGCTGAAATCAGGAGAAGCCACGAGGTCTTTCACGGCCTTCTGGGTCGACTCCTCTGTTAACTTTTTCCACTCTTCCTTTGAGAATTTTTTCCCCTCCGGAGTGCAGTAGGTGGAAAGAAACACGTCTGAATCCGATAGTTGATGTTCTTGTGGGATAGTTTTATAACCTGAAATAAGCGACAATGGCAAATATTGTTATCCTGCTTTGCTCATTTTTAGGTATTAACATGCAAAAGAGAGAAGATATTAACTAACCAAAACCTTGAATTGGAGCACTACTGGGAGATCCCCGACGGAATCTTTTTGTCCAAGGCCAAAGAGGCGTACAATCTTCAGATGTCTTCTTGTACGTATAATTGTCTTGTGAATTTCGAAATGGAGATATATCAGGAACCGCAGACTCCAAGCTCATACTGTTCACCATCTTGACCAACCTCCTGCATATTGGCAATTCAGAGTGAAACAAGGTATAAGTCAAAACGACCGAATTAGGTGATCAACTGTAAGAAAGCTATGGAGCTACACATCAGAAACTACAGAAGTCACTTCTCTAAATCTGGGTACTTGAACACTATCTACATGGGCTGGTTATCTGCTTATTTGTTCAAGATTTAAAAGAAGCCAACAAAAGGGTTCAACAACTCTATTCATCCTAGATGGTTAATCATTGACAGAAGTTGGCCTCTTAAGCATACATACCATGCACAAATCAGCTTAGTTCCATTGTAACTCACTGGGAGCACATTCACCAGGACGAAGAGAAAAAACAGTTTCAGACTAGAGAAACTTACTTGTAAAGCCGCCTCCAAAATTTGAGTTGAAAAGTTCGCCTTAATACAGACGAAGCAATTATCCCTGATAATAATGCTCCTGTTGCCAGCAGGGGATCCAATGAGCTCTGGAGCAACATGTGTAATGAAGTGTCATTAACAAATTGGAAGCATTTTTCATTGGCAATAAACAAACACCAATCAACAGTTTTAGACTTTTAGTATATGAAATAAGTTGCGATGGGAAATAGACGTACCTGAAGAATCATAATAGCGGCTATAATCCTAATAGACCAGGCAACAAAATGGGAAGTACTTGTGTCAACTGATCCATCTTCTGCCAAGACAAGTTTGCGGACAGCCCAGAATCCCATCCAAGCTCCAGCAAGAACAATAAAAGCCACCATAAAAATTGCCAGCTGTGGTTCATAAAAAGGGAATCCAGTTTAGTTTATAAGAATTATTTATCCAGCCTTGGCATCTAGATCATCTGTTATCTAAGAGATTAGTAAGAAGAAATATGAAGACACTTCATCAATCTATACATGAAAGTAGGACATGCCATAAGGTTGGTTGGTTGGTCGGCTACTAAAACTATGTGAGTGTTCTCATGTAATACTAACAAGAATAGTTAATGAACACCACTAATTCTTGTGTTTGACCAAAACCCTCAGCATTATATATGATGCTTCTTCGCCAAGAAACTATGAATTGTAATACAGTATGTCTAACTTACATACAGGAAAATACATGTCTTCACTGATTCCCATCTCCAGGAGGAGGGTGTGCAGTAAGCCTGGCAAGTATTGCAGGAGAAAAGAACCCAAACCAACCTGCATAATACATAACAGTATGTCAACTGCAGTTCTCATTGTTAAACATAAAGGATCAAAAGATAATTAAAGAGAAGGCTCAACACGTACCAAAGATGAGTATATGACGATTGCAAGTGAGTTTCTCCGCCCAGTTGGCAGCAGTTTCATCCCCTAACAAAGAACAATCAAATAATCATCTAATGCTAAAGGTGATTAAACAATGGTAAGAACATACAACCAACAAGAGGAAGTGTACAATAAACCTTCGAGATGCGCGAATGTATGAACATGAAGGTTACTCTAGTACAAAAAGAGCTTTTCAAGCCCCCTCTTCTGTGGTTTAGCATAAACAGTTTGCATTTGTACAACCAATAAGAAAACCATGAGGAAAGCAAAAATACATATACATACGAACAGTAACTTTAAACAACAGCAACACAAATGTTGGTTATTCCAATTACTGATATGGAGTATCTCGCCACCCATCACACTAGCAACAGTCACTAGAATAATTTTCCTACATTCTCGATTCTGAAGGACAAAAGATGTATTACCTGAAAAAGTACCACCAATATCACAAGGATGATGCCAACTGCCATCGCACTGCTGTAGTAAAACGCCAATGACATGCTCAGAGGGGATGCCACACTCAACAGAACGACCCCAACAACTAGAAATACTATCCGGTACATGAAAAATTCTGCAGCATGACCAAGAGAAAATTAGTAACATACCCCAACATCAAATAGGCACTTAAACATTATAACAACACAACGATAACCCATGGAATGTAGATAACCCCAAACGGGAAAGAAAGGAAACCTTCTTCAATATGAACTTCGATGCTTTCAGGAGATGAACCAGCCATCCTTATATCCAAGAGCTTATGATCAAAAGGTGACATTGCACGACCCCAGGAACCCTTCACAACCTTTTCCCACCTTCCTTGAGGGCACATCCCAATCCCACGAGATGCATTCCTGCAAAGAAAACACGGCCTCGTTAACCTTTAACTGGAACCACAGATCTGTGCTAAGGAAGTTTGCTGTATTGAAATCTTAAAAAAAGGAAAGCTGGACATGTTCCATCAGAATCGGAAGGCAGTATTATAATTCAAAACCCGGTACAAGTTACAGCACAAATTACCTGTGGAAACAGACTTCAACACTCGGCCCACGGAGAGTTGAACTAGAATGCGTTAGGTTCACCTTTAATGAGTGGGAAAACTTCTTTAAGTTCTTCAGCCTGGATAGCCCATGGACATGAACTCTTTCACAGAGCAACCTAGTGCCAGGCTTAGTCCCTGGGGAGTTCACCACAGACAAGCTAGGAGAAACCTCGAGTCTAGACCTTTCCCCAACAACTACAAAAATCCCAAAACAAGAAAAATAAAACGGAATCAGATCAAGAACCAGGATCAGGACGAGTAAAAGGTTCCAACATCTCCAAAAATACTCCACATTCACTTCTCAGTTCAGTGTCATGAAATTTCTAGGAGAGCAAACATGAAATTGGAGGAGGAGCGGGGTTTGAAGAGCAGCCATGTTACAATTTTCCAAAACCCTAGGATTCCAAGTTTCCGAAGTGATTGGACAACAACGCAGAGAAAGTAATTGCAACGGGAAAAAGAAAGACGGATTGTACCTAGAGACACTGTAGTAGCGGATACGAAGCAGGGGAAGGCGATAAAGATAACCCAGAGAATCAAAATGGAGCTCCGAGAAAACTGCACAGAACCCATCTCCTGCTATCCTTTCCCTTTGGTTGGCTGGGTTCCACTTCCCGGTGTTGTGACTTGTGAGGGAATGCGCGCGCGTCGAAGTTAGAAATAGAAATAGAAAGAAAAAAAAAACAGACGAGGAGAATAGTTGCGTACTTTTCAAGTGGGACGCGGACAGCAATTTAGGGATGGCAACAAAACCCGAACCCACGGGTATTCACCCGACCCAACCCAGTTAACGAGGGTAAAATCCGTGTTGACGGGTTTTGGGTCGGGTTTGGGTTTAAATCCGTTCACTATTCACCGGGTTAGGTTGGGTTTGGGTTTAGGTAAATCCGGCCCGTGGGTACCCGCCCACTCATATAATTAATTTTTTCGGTATATTTAATATTCTAAACAACTATTCTTATTTATGTTTGTGGAGACATGTCTAATTTTTTCTTTTTAATTGTGTAGAATGAAGTTGATGTTATGGAGTGGAGACTAAAGAAACTTAATTGAAAGAAAGAAGCTTTCAATTAAACATGTTATTTATGGATAATTTGTGATTTGCTTCAATTTTCATGAGTTTTCTAGATTGGTGTGGACAATTTGTATAGTTAATTTGTGATTTGCTTGAATTTTCTAGAATGGTGTTTTATATATGGATAATTTATATCAGGATACCGTTTAGCGATGCGATTGAGCAAGAGCCAGTGGAGGGGCAAGTGTGGGGTATCATGGATGGATCCAGGCCTGTGGGGGAAGCTTTGGAATCTTAGGGTTCCGCCGAAGCTTAAGTTCTTTTTGTGGCAGATCATGAATAGGATTTTGCCCACCGTGGAGGCATTTCTTGTCCGGGATATTGAGGTGGAGGAGCGGTGTCCAGTGTGCTGGCATGAGATGGAGGAGTTGGAGCATTTGTTCTTCCATTGCCCGGTGGCTAAGGATCTGTGGGCTGACTCGGGCCTAGAGGATATTCGGGCTGGGTTGCCGATGGGGTGTATGGGTTTGTTCGTTCGCCGGCTATTGGACGGGGTGTCTGACGATGGAGTCCTGATGCGGCTAATCTCCCTGCTCTGGAGGGTGTGGAAGTCTCGCAACTGGGTGGTGTTCGAGGGTTGCCAGTATCAGCGGGTGGTGTTAAGTAACCAATGGCGGATCCAGGTGGAGGAATGGGGGAAGGCTAATGGTATGGAGGAGGGGCGGGGTCAAGGAAGGGGGCGGGTGGCGGTCACCGGGACGGTTCAGTGGCCCCAGGGTGCGTCTTGGGTATGCTCCTTTGATGGGGCGGTACGTGAGGCTTCTCACTCTGCGGTGGGGATGGTCCTGCAAGGGCCGGATGGGGTGGTGGTCAGGGCGATGGGTTGGGGGGTTGAGGGTCTCACTGACCCAATGCTGGTGGAGCTGATGGCCCTTAGGGAAGCGATCGTGTGGTGTCGGGCGATGGGGATCCAGGGTGTCTGCTACCAGGGGGATGCGAAGGTCGTGATTGACAAAGTGGTGGCAGGGTGTGTATGGGATTCCAGTGGGGGTGCGGTGCTTCAGGAGATTCAGGGTATGTTGGCGAATGGGTCGGGGGAGATGCTTCGATTTGTAGGCAGGGATAACAATAGGGTAGCCCATAGGGTGGCTAAGAAGGCCCTTTCTTTGTTTCCCACTCTTATTGAGGGGTTCGATTTTTGCGTTTGGCTCCATTCGGAGATGTAATCGCTTGTGATCTCTTTTTCTTGGTAATGCAAGCTATCTTTGGTTAAAAAAAAATATATGGATAATTTATATTGAGAGATTGATATTTGACTTTAATTTTGATAAGAACTTGTAATTGTAAATTTTTTACGACAAAACCCGTGGGTACCCATGAACCCGCGGATACTCAACGGGTTGGGTTGGGTTTGAGTTTTTCAAACCCGGTGAGTTTTACCCCGGGTTTTTTTCAAAGATAAACCCATGGGTTTGGATTTGGGTTTGGCAAAACCCCACCCAACCCGACCCATTGTCATCCCTAGACAGCATTACCCAAAATCCTAGACTAGAAACGGAGCCTTCTCTCTCTTGGGCTTGTTATCAAATTCCAAGGTTGTCAAACCGGTTTATACTAGTGTGCCGGTTTAGCAAGTGGAATGGTTCAACCGATGGCACATATCGGTTTGTGCCGGTTCATGCCGGTCAATATTACAAATAAAATTATAAATAATTATATTTAAACATGACATTTAACGTCAATACCTAAATATTTATACTTGAATCCAACAAATAACATCAATATTTAACTTTTATACTCATAAAATAAATAATAAAATAATTTTTATCAATTAAATTCTCTAAAATAAGGTCATTTTACTTAGAGATTCGTATATCGATCATACCGGTGGTGTCACGCCGGTTTTATGACCGGTACCGGTTGAACCCAGTACAACCGGTGGCACGCCGGCCAGCGTGACAACCATGTCAAATTCTTTCTTGGGGTCGATTGGATTCACAAATTTGGTGAGGGATTTGGCCCAAACCTGGGCCCTTCCCGGATTTTAACTCATTTCTTTTGTTTGGATAATTTAAAGGCAAAATTCACCTCCATAGCCATAACTTTACACTTTGTGACAATAATAGCCAATTTTTGAGAAATAAACTAAAATATCCATTCCGTCCATAACTTTAACGGAATTAGTATGGATGCTGACTAAACTGACATTTTTTTGATGATGTGGCATTTTTTTTTTGTCAAAACAATACTAGGTGGGAATAACTATTTTCTTATTTTAATTAAATGATAAAACAAATAAATAAAACAAAACAACATCACTCTCTTCCCCGTGAAATCCCCTCCTTGTCCTTCCCCTGTTTTCTTTTTCTGGTTTCTTCCTCTCCGCCATCGTCATTGATAAACTCGGAGGAGGAGCTAACCAACCACCTCCAATGGCAGCAGCAGCCAAACTCCACCCCCAATTGAAGTTATGATGTCCCAAAACCACTCCTTTTGACACTTGGTTCATCTTGAGGAGTACTAAATTGCCTGGGGAATCTAATTGGGAATCTGAGATTCGTTCGATTTCTTCAGATCTGTTACAGTCGCGAACTAAATGCGAAGAGGTGGATCCCGAAGGATCGATGGTGGTGGGCTGAGGAGGTGGAGCGCCATCCCGGCGGCCCCGCAGCCGGTGCCTACCTCAATTGTTCCGCGGTGCTTAGAGCCGATATCCACGAGGGAAGGGTTTGGGCGGTGGGTTAGACTCCGATTTGGAGCTCGATCACCGGCGAGTTTGCCATCTTCATTTTTAGTTTTTAGTCTTTCTTCCGCTGTTGTTGGAGAATCATGAGATTGGGAGACATGGCTTGAAAAGCTCTATGGAGAATTAGGATTTATTTGGCAAATGGTAATTCTTTTGCCGGCGGCGGTAGGGAGTTATTCATGAACATTTTTTTATTAAAATAAATTAATGAATTTTTTAATTAAAATGTGACGTGGCGTCCAGGTGCCATGGTGTGTCTTGTTGGAGCTGACGTGTGAGCTGAGGTGGATGCCACCTCAGTGTAAAGTTCACCTTACTGACGGAGTCACTGACGGTGTTAAAGTATTTAACGGAAATGGCTAAATTTGTCAAACTACTTTTCAAATTATGGCTATATCTGTGTATTTTTCAAAACTTGGCTATATTTGTCAAAAACGTCAAAGTTATGGCTATCCAAGTGTATTTTGCCTAATTTAAAAAAATGAAGGATTTGGTCATTGAGAATTATAAATTACAGACAGTTTGGTATAAAATGAATCGAGAATTCATTTCATTGTAAAAATGAATTACTATATAGAGTTAATTGTCAAATGAAATTTTGTGCTTGATACGTCATATTCAAATAAAATGAATTGTCATGTAGAATTCATTGTCAAGTGAATTCATGTGTTTGGTATGTACATGTATAAGTGATTTAGTTAATAAAAGAGGATAATTATGTCATTTTATTATAATTAGTAAATACTTGTGGAATTCATTTGGAAATTTCATCTCAATTCCTCGGAATTGCTATAATTAGTTCCAATTCCATAGAATTTAAAATTTAGAATTGGAAATGAATTCTTTAAAATACCAAACACAAAAATGTTTCATTTCAGAATGAATTCCTCAAAACTTATGGAATTCATTTATACCAAACGGTATGTTAGGCTCATTCAAAAATTAGAAATATCTGCCAACCTGCAAGTATTTTAAAATCTTATCCCAAAACGCTATTACTAGGTAGGCTCTATACGGCACAATAGTGCCCCTGCCACTACCCCCTACTCCATATCCCTATTCTTCTTCGACCATAATCAGTCCAGAAACTCAAATCATTCTTCGCCGCACCCCTTCCTTTCGGCGACATTTCCATCTTCTCCCCATTTCCTCTCTTCAACATGACGGTTGTTCCGGGGGATGGGGAATCGAAGGTCCATTCGTTGAGACCGTAGCTCGATTTCCGCACAAACCCAACTTCTCCGACGATCGAGTTGGGATGGGATCTTCTCTGTGGCTCGGCAAAAGAACTCCAAACATCTCCGACTTTAGTTTCATTCATCGTTCCCCTCCTGTCCGCTGGCACGAGCTCGATCCTGATATGAAATTCCAAATCTGGGTTTTGGGTTGTGTTGTGTAGGATTTGTCTCCTCTCACCCCTAGACTACTATCGTCAATCGCGTTGCGACTATCACTCTCCACCGATTGGTTTATGCCACGAAGTTCATGGAAATTACAATCTCTACTTTGCAGCAATCGGAATCAGAGGACAACGCAAAGTCTTTGGTTGTGATACCCGCTGTGGCAGGGTTCACATTAGACGATGAAAAATAGAACAGCAGTAACGGTGACGGGGATTACCTCATAGAGTTGAGCTTTGGACGAGATCCTCGACATCTTTGCCGAGGTCGTCTTCTACGCCGCGTGATTGGGGGAAGAATCAGATGTTGGCGACGCTCAGTGGGAGTGGTGTTGGGGAGATCGGAGGAGGCAACGGCGGAGGAAAGAATCCTGTAAATGTTAGCTGAATTCAACGGTAAGTGGCAGTTGAATTTGGTGAACTGTAATTTCTGTACGGGTGCGTTTGGATACAAGGATTTGGATTTGGTATTTG